GCCTATTCCAGTCCTAGTCTTAGCGAAGTGATCTCGACTAGCTGTCGGTAGGAGCAAACAGCTCTTGAGTAGCTAGGCGCGAATATCTGAAAACAAACAAATAAACAAGAATGACGGTCAAATCCGCCTATTCCAGTCCTAGTCTTAGCGAAGTGATCTCGACTAGCTGTCGGTAGGAGCAAACAGCTCTTGAGTAGCTATGCGCGAATATCTGAAAACAAGCAAACAAACAAAAATCTCAGAAATCTTTCAGCCATTTTAAGAGTTTGCAATTGCATTTCTTCACAGCGCGTGCAGCTAGAAAAGCGAATCAACGGACACTGTTTAATAATTATGTAACACTCGTATATAACTACGTTAATCAGAATTTAATTATAAGGATGCTAAAAACTTGATTTTATTGCAAACTTTCGGCCCTCAGTTCTGAGTCGAAACGTCTTTTCTACATGGCGACTAGTCCTTGTAAGTTAGCGAAATGTTGTTTCATAACGTTGTCTAAATACACTCACTGATGATTACATAAAAACGTTTATTCGATCCACTGTACAATGATTCTAAGCCTTCTGAACCAAATAGTTATATTTCCTTACAGGCCAAGCAACTTTCGTTAATTCGTACACTTACATTTAGAAGTTTCTCGAAACATTCATCTATCTCCGTGACACTAGCGATAGCAGTGCGTGAGACATACTCCAAACGATATTCTTCCACAGTGATCAATCCGTCACCTGGAAAAAAGAGGAATACATTATACTATCAACTATTTAGGCACTCTATGAAGAATTTTAAACAAAACACTTCCAGTTATTCTTTACGTTATCATTATTAAATATCCTCATCATTCTATAAAATCTGCCCTGCTACGGTGGAATTTGGAAATTTTGTGATTGGTTGTAGTGCAAGCTAGTACGGGGTATAGTAGTAAACTACAAGAATACAGAAGATTGAGTAAGTCACATTATAAATAATTTTGAATATGCAAATCAGCAAGTCAATTGACTATATAATAGCAATTATAAAGTCGAGGTGGAACGGAATGTATCAGAACTACATTTTGACATTGTTTGCCGCTTTGTAGGTAGTGTGATGCCTTTGAAATTTTCTAGCTTTTGGGAAGAGTACGTAACAGTCCTTTCCAACGCAAAATATTCATACACACAGATCATGAAGATGTTCTCAGATCAGAGATTTAGAACTTCCAAGACTGGAATACCCTTGCACTTAATGACATTAGAAAACAAAAGAATGCGAATCAATTCGGGGCTTCAGGACCATTCAAAAAGAGACCTGCAACAAGTTGTACGCAACTCGTAGTAAGCAAAGTGCAGCGTCTTGTAACAGGTGAGAATCTTAAAATACAAAAATTAGTGGCAAAAAGCCATTCGCGTGCCCCAGTCAACAATACGCAAAACAATTAAAAATGATCTATGTCTGTATAGTAGGCCAACAGAATACGGGTTCATCAAAATAAGGCTTCCAGTCATACCTCCTGTTCAACCGTTTCATACCTCAAGCAGCTGAAAAATGAAACGATCCAACCTGCTAACATAATACGCGAAGTCCAAGTGAAAGAGGCCTAACGTAATAAGTCTTCGCGAAGTCCAAGTTGAAGAGGTCTGTCAAAAGCAGTTCTGGCGAGTATGTTGTGTGTGTGTTTTGTTCTAGCTTCTGTGTTGTGTTCATTAAGCATACTTCATTCATTTCATGATTCATAAAGATCTCGATAATGTTTGATTTACAAAAATAATCCGAATTTTACCATATTTTTTTCTACGTATAAAACTGGGTGATACGTAACTAATCAGACAGTTTTAAGCAGTTTCTATAATACATACCGAAAATACAACATATTGTAAAGAAAATACAGAGCGAGCGTGATCAAGTGCTTAACCGTGCCCGTATTGTGAACGTTTTTCCTTTTTCGCCAATACTTACCATTGATATCGGTAGTGTTGAATTTGGAAGTGATAGCATACTTAAGTGACTCGGGAAAGTTTTCAAAAGCCTTGCCAACACAAACGTTCTGGACAGCCTGCTTAAACTCTTCCACTGAAACTTGTCCATCCTGATACAATCGAATAAAGTTAGAAAAAATATCATGATCCAAATTCATGATTCTAAAACTCGCGTATCATGCAACTCAATTCTGATTCTTATCTTTTAACATAAAGGCAAATTGGAAATTCGTTATTTCAGCTCTGGTTTTTAAGTGTATATATATTTAATTGTAAAATCTATCGTAATCTATTTAAAAACATCTTCATAATTTTCTTAACGGTGGCATAACATAATCGTGTTGAAATAACTTCTTCTATAAATTATTTTCACATATTAACAAATATGAGGAATTCATATTGTGAGACAGCACTGAATAGAAACTGGTCTTGGGTGTGATATTTGTATTTTTCAACCAGAATAACACCTCATACGACACATGAGCTAGAGAGCGAGGTCAGAGACGGCTATGGTTTGGTCATCCCCATCCCTGATTTATAACTGCTGACCAGAAAGAGGGCAACCAGTCAGCAGCATGTTTTTGCCACCAACATGGCTACTATCAAATAAATATTGTTATTGACTGTCATAGTTATAACTCTCCAAGGGCTGAAAACTGCGGCACAAGGCAGCTCGAACCTTGAACCGTCAGTCAGCAGCCCCATTCGCAGCTGCTAGGCCTCGTCTGGTCCGCTGTGGTATTAAGCTACTAGCTTTGTCGACAGTACCGTATGGCAAACAGGGTGTTTGGTAGAGATGCTTGTATGTACTTCTTATTGAGTAAATAAAGACTTGTTAAAAATCATTAACAGTTTTATTGTGATTTAATGTTACAAAAACTATCACTCAAAATGATTTACATTTTGAATCTATTTTTCCAACTCTGTTCTTTATTGTCCCCAATGATGATTTTATAAAACTTTATCTAATATCAGTTATTAGGACTAAAAATATTTGATTACTAGTAACGAATGATTAATTACTCAGTAATTTTCTCATCTAATCACTGGTAACTTTCTTGAAAGGTTACCAGCAATTGGCTGATTAAACGTTGCTTCAGGTGTTAGTAGTATATTAGTATTTCCTTATAGGAATCATTAGTGAAGCTGATGGATAGTTAAAGCTACGAAACTTTGGTCAAGTATTGAATAAATCCTGCAATAAAACTTCCGAATATCGTTATTTGTTTTACCCGCCATCATGCCTAGCTAACTAATAAATTAATATTTGCTTTAAAATTCTTATCAATGCTACAAGTGTAGCTACCAGTTTGGCCGAAAATTTTGATTTCATTCCTTCAAGTCGCACGCTCAATCCTTTTCTGGCTCCACCTTTTTTTTTTTTTACACTTAAGGTATTTTT